TCAGCTCGTGAGGAGAGAAATGCCGATAACTGGCATTTCCCTGTTTACATGTGATCAGCTGTGATTGGACACAGCTGATCACATGACCAAGCCGACATCTTCGGATCTTTCCGTGGATCGGTGATCCGCTGTGTCCGAGGGACACCGCCGATCGCTGCATGCGCGGTTAGAATGGGAGGACATCATATGACGTCCTCCCAGAACGAGAGAACCACCTTGCGTCCATCATATTACTATATGGCGGGCGGGAGGTGGTTGAACAATAGTACACCACTGTTACAAGTGTATAAATATCCCGCACCTCCTATGTGTGAAATCTAAAATATAAATGCTAATGAACAAGTCAACCGATAATATGCAGAGGTGGCTGCATACAACCAAAGTGTTCCCACAATATGATCTAGTATCCCAATAAGTGTGATGTCGCGCCTCCCTAAAAAATATCTATATGGTGCCAAAATGTGCAAAAATATATAACGACCAAATCTAGTAAATTTCTTCCTGCGCTGACGTGTTGTGGTGTAGCAGGCCTATTGCTGAGCTGTACGTCCCAGGACTGGAATCTACACCTGGATACCAAGAACTGAGTTCAGGGAGAGCCGGACACTGACAGAGAGAAACAGGGATTGAACATTTAAAGGACCAGGCCACTCAGAATTAGAGTACAGCATAGAGCAGACATAGGATGGAATAACAACAAAAGGGAAGCCCATGTACATGAGGAGCTGACCTAAGGATCCCAGATAAGGGGAACACGTGCATATGATCTGTAAGTGGACAGGTCCAAGAGTGGAGGTGAGCACTTGATTGAACGGTGGTGGACAACACGATTGTATGTTTTGGAAATAACACAGGAGGTCCATATATATATATATATATATTTTGGACACAGGCACAATTTTGGTATTTTTTCAGGTACTTACCAAAACATATTCAAGCTATAGTTGTATAATGGATATGGGCTGAAAATGCACACTCTCAGGTTTAATATGAGGGTATGTACATCCAAATTGAAGGAAGGGTTTAGGAATTACAGCTTTTAAGAGTAGCCAACCCCCCTTTTTTTCAAGGTACAAAAAGTAACTGGACAATTTGAATATAATCAATATTAAAATGTTCAATTTCATATTTTTTTGAGAATCCTTTACTCGCAATGACTGCATGAAGTCTGGAACCCATGGACATTACTAAAGACTGGGTTTCCTCCTTTATGCTTTGCCAGGCTCTAACTGCAGCTGTCTTCAGTTGTTCTTTGTGGGTCTTTCTGCCTTTAGTTTTGCCTTCAGCAAGTGAAATACATGCTCATTTGGGTTGAATTCAGGTGATTGACTCGGCCATTGCAGAATATTCTACGTCTTTTCCTTCAAAAGCTCCTGGGTTGCTTTTGCAGTGTGTTTTGGATCACTGTCCATCTGTACTGTGAAGCTCCGTCCAATCAACTTTGCTGCATTTGGCTGAATCTGGGCTGACAGTATATCTCTAAACACTGCAGAATTCATCCAGCTGCTTCTGTCACATCATCAATAAACACCAATGACCCAGTGCCACTGGAAGTCATGCATGCCCATGCCATCACACTGCCTCCACCATGTCTTACAGATGATGTTATGTGCTTTGGATCATGAGCTGTTCCAAGCCTTCTCCACACCTTTTTTTTCTTCCTGTCATTCTGGTACAGATTAATCTTAGTTTCATCCTTCCAAAGAATGCTTTTCCAGAACTGGTCTGCCTTTTTTAGATGTTTTTGGGCAAAGTCTAATCATCCTTTTCTATTCTTCAGGCTTACGAATGATTTGCACCTTGTGGTGAACCCCCTGTATTTTTTCTTGTGAAGTCTTCTCTTGATTGTAGACTTTGACAATGATACGTCCACCTCCTGAAGAGTGTCCTTCACTTGTCTGGATATTGTGAATGGGTTTTATTCACCATAGAGAGGATCCTGTGATCATCCACCACTGTTGTCTTCTGTGGATGTCCATGCCTTTTTATGTTGCTGAGCTTTCCTCAGAATGCACCAAACTGTTGATTTGGCCACTCCTAATGTTGCTGCTATCTCTCTGATGGATTTGTTTTGTTTTTGAAGAATGACAATAGCCTGCTTCACTTGCCTGGACAGCTCCTTTGGAAGCATGATGTAGGTTCACAGCAATAGATTCCAAATGCAAATACCACACTTAGAATCAACTCCAGACCTTTCATCTGCTTAATTGACGGAGTAGCCCACATCTGGCCATGAAACCGCTTTTGATTCAATTGTCCAATTACTTTTACTTTTGGTCCCTTGAAAAAGGGGGATGGCTAATCTTACGAGCTGTAATTCCTAAACTCTTCCTCCAATTTGGATGTACATACCCTCAAATTAAACCTGAGAGTGTACACTTTCAGCCCATATCCATTATATAACTATAGCTTGAATATGTTTTGGTAAATACCTGAACAAAATTAAAATTGTGCCTGTGTCCAAATATATATGAACCTGTGTGTGTGTGTGTGTGTGTGTGTGTGTGTGCGTGTGTGTGTGTATATATATATATATATATATATATATATATATATATATATATATATATATATATATATATATATATATATATATATATATATATATATATATATATATATATATTCAAAACAAGATCTCAGAGTTGTAACAATCAAGGATCGCATATCACAACATCGCTCCTTCATTCCTAAATGGTTCATAAACATTTTATGGCATATGATCATAAGGACACTGATTTAAAATATATGATATTGGAAGAGGTAAAAAAAAAAAAAAAAAGGACATAAATTCTTAAATTAAAACAAAAGGAGCACCCTTTGTTTGAATAGGGATTATGATTTGTATTTATTTTTGTAATTTGGTATATTTATGTTTTGTCCATTATTTCTTTTAGACCTATGAGAAATGGAATAGAACGGGCAGGGTGAAATAATTAATTTTCTGTATCAGTTTGTTTGGATTTATGATGATGGTTAATTAATTCTTCAGATTTTGTTTTTGTACAGTTGGAATTGCAGTATATGGATAATATGCTATAATATATGATAAATTATTTGTTTATGGTTTCATTTTTTATATAAAGGTATTTCCTAATATGAGAGTAAAGCTATAGTGCTGCTATAGTGCTATAGATGAGATGTACCTTTGCAACCACACCCTGTGTTTAGTTATATAGAGTGATCTTTTGATATCTAGCATTACAATTGTAGCGTGATGAAGAGCAGTGTTATGCTTGAAACTGCACAGTCAGCACTAATTTTTGTATGAAGATACACTTGAAGTAAAGAGAGAATTTTTGCAACTTGGAGATCTTGTTCTCATTTCTTTTTGGATGTTTTATATGGATGGAATTATTGGAGCCCGTCGTTAATGAGATCTCCAACAGATAAGCTCTGCAATACAACAGGAGTTACCTGCTCTAATTTTTCAGATATATATATCTATATATTTTAGGGAGGCGCAACATCACACTTATTGGGATACTAGTGCACCAGTGTTATTATGATGAATATACAGGGAGTACACAATCCCTATTTTGTAAGATATTTGTGTTCTGAGAGTATATTATTTTATTAAGCAACTGTATGGCGAAACATGGCAGAATTTCCTGTATTCCCTGCAGAGTGTCCTCCATCATTTTCCAGATATTGGAATATTTACACGGATGTTTTCTTCTTAATCTCTGTACCATTCATATACTGGAGGCTTAAAAAATATGCATAAATATAGTCCCACAGTGTCCAGAAAAAAACAAAACCACAATATAAACCCAACACATTTGAATGGCCTTTTCCTGACAATCCTCTCCAGGCTGCGGTCATCCCTGTTGCTTGAGCACTTTTTTCTTCCACACTCTTCCCTTCCACATAACTTTCTATTAATGTGCTTTGATACAGCACTTTGGGAACATCCAACTTCTTTTGCAATTACCTTTTGAGGCTTTCCCTCCTTATGGAGGGTGTCAGTGATGGTTTTCTGCACAACTGTCAGGTCAGCAGTCTTTCCCATGATTGTGATTCCTACTGAACCAGACTGAGAGACCATTTAAAGGCTCAGGAACCCTTTGCAGGTGTTATGGCTTAATTAGCTGATTAGAGTGGGACACTTTGAGCGGAGAATATATTGCACCTTTTCGCAATATTCTAATTTTCTGAGATTGTGGATTTGGGGTTTTCATGAGCTGTAAGTCATAATCATCACAATTATGACAAATCACGGCTTGAACTATCTTGCTTTGCATGTAATGAGTCTATCTCATATATTAGTTTCACCTTTTAAGTTGCATTACTGAAATAAATGAACTTTTGCACAATATTCAAATTTTTCGAGTTTCACCTGTACACTAATTTGTGTACAGATATAAAGATTGAGGTAGGGATTCAGTCGACCCTGTTAATTTTAAGTGCCCTGTTAATATGAATTGTTTTGTGTGGCAACAACATTTAAAAGCTCTGAAGAAACAAATACTGATGTCCGACATTTTGACATGTTGGTGAGTGCAAGACAATCTACATTCCTTTCTGTGGTGAAAACATACTGTCATTTGTACACTGCAGAGATCCGCAGGGGTATAGTATATTCAATTGTTATGTTGTGGTAGCCAAAGGATGTTGCAGTGCACACCCACACTAATTGCATGTGAATGTTGCAACTTTGGATGTGAATAAAGAGCTTCAGCATCACTTCCAGCCAATGGAGCATTCAAGGGAAGTTCCTACTACCAACCCAAATATATGGCATAAGCCTTGACAAGGACGCCTAAATTCTTTATACCAGCAGTCAAAATGCAGAAAAATGTGAAATCTTTTTTAGGGTGTAAATAAAAAAAAATTTCTACTGCCATCCACTTACTACTTTGAAGAATGCATCGGAACGGTTGTGAAAACCTCTCCTGAATGAGAATCATAGTGAATAGTTGAAGTTGGAATCATTTAACATGGACTGTTTATGTGGTGATCATACCAACATTTACACTTTTCTATTTTTTTCTATTCAGATCAAGGAAACTAAAAAAGCCATCAGGGACTCTGAAACTGGAGTAGAACAAATAGCTGTCGGCCATCACATCAAAGATCGGGCCCACATTGTCAAGCAATTGCAGAACAAAAAGACTGGGGATCGTGAACTTAACCAGGAGTTTTTAAATATGGATGAATGTGAGTGGTAGTAGTAATATGTGATGGTATCTTTAAGCTTAACTCTAGATCTTAGTGAACACATGCAGCAGCTGTATGTGCTGTATAAACTGTATGTAGCATCAGCAACATAAAAAGTATACAGCAGTGCAAAGGGAACTTTCCGTTCAGCATGTGGGAAATACAAAGTGTGGATGATAGAGAAGTGTAAAAACAGACAAAAGTAAGACAAACACAGTATCAGTGCTGCCAAAGCACAGAAAGAGGAGGAAATGGCTAAATTCATTAGGAAAGGAGACAAAACCTTTCTTTTTAGGTACATCTGGGATGGGAATAAAAAAAAATACCATATGATCACAAAAATTAAAACTGGGTGCAACACTTATGTTGAGGGAGACTTGGATGTAGCAAACAATTTAAACAATTACTTCTGTTCATTGTTCTCAGAAATAAATTACACTAAAAAACAAGTAGGTGGATCATATTAGTGCAGGGGGTGTCCAACCTGTTGACCCTCCTGGGCCATATTGGAAGAAGAGAAATTCTTGGCCAATGGCTGCACCTCTTCGTGGCTCACTGTGCTGCCAGCAGTTACTTGCGGTGATCACTGCTGCATGCAAAGTACAGAAGGAACTGCTGCTGCAATTTGCATCAGCTCCTGCTATTGTCATTCACAGCTAGTGAGCCAATGAGGAGAGAGCGCCGGGTGGGGCTGAGCTGTGTCTGCATGTGAATGGACACACAGAGCAGCGGCTCCGGAGCTGTTTTCTCTGGGGGCACTTGGCAGGAGGGAAGGGCCAGGAGTACCAGTGGGGGACCTGAGAAAAGGAGGATCGGGGCTGCTCTGTGCAAAATCATTGCACAGAGCAGGTAAGTATGACCTGTTTAAAAAAAAAAAAAAAAAACCCGAGCCTTTACAGTCACTTAAATCACTGCCACAAAGGTCATGGGCTAATTTTCACCTTGGACATTATCTGCAATGAGTTGGTATGTTTATCTTTAAGACACATACTTATGAGTATCCTCCTTCCAGATCTGATTGATTAAAAATATCAAACTGATTTGTGTATAGCCAGTATAAATCTGTGAGTCAACCAATTGCTTCAGCTGGAAGAAAACATTTGAATGAATTTGGTGTGTTGTTTGTCTTCCAAGAGACATCACAGCTGGCTGATAAAGGTTCAGCCTGTGCAGAAAGCCTTTAGTAATGTAATACATAAATTTAATATTATGAGGGTCACAGTAAGGTAAGGTCTAAACTGTGTTGCGAAGTTCACCTGAATGCCCATGTATTTTATTGGAAATTATTTATTTTAGCAATGCATATTAATGACAAGATCCTGAAATTTAGAATCTTTAAATATAGCCTCTTTAAACTGTAACAACAATGCATGTGCAAGCTTCTATTACATCAAACGCTGATAATGGGTGAAGTGGATTATTATACAAGTAGGTATTTCTTCTATTTCAGCGGAGGCACCTTCATTTAACAGTGAAGAATGGGACAAAGAAGTCTCCAGATTCAAACCTTTTGAGCAGAAACTGTCCATAGATGCTCCTAAACCGAAACACCACAGTACTCACTATTCTACTAAGATTGGGCTCCCAGATATGCCCAGAAGGTAAGTCTCATTCAACTTTATCAAGGTAAATGGGCAGTAATGTTGGTAAGTTTGTTTTTGTCAGTTTTTGATGCTGCAACGTTAAAAAAAAAAAAAAAAGCTGTGTTTCCCTTCATGTGCACTTACCTGTTCTCTCTTTGTAACTGTAAAACAGACACTAACAATTAATTATTTCCTAACTTAACAACTAACCTACCCCTCTTAACTATTTCACTAACCATAAATCTTTAACCAGTAAGCCTTGATTCTCAACCTGACTAAACTCTTGAATTCAATTTTTAACACTTAGCTTTCCCCCAACATTTAACCACAGAAGCCCAAAGGCCCAGTTCACACCTTTTGTATTTTAGCACTTGTGTTATAAAGCAAAACAATGCATGTGTCATAAGAAATAATGTTCTTCAATGTGACCTTGCTGATCTTATGTGTCATGTTGCCGTTTGGAAATTGAGGCATATCCATTTTTTTTCTTACATTTTCATACATTGCATGTCCCTTAGTAGTCTATGGCAACACTTTAAAATACATACTGTAAATAGTGCATTTTAATGCATTTGGCATACATTGACAGCTGCTGCTAACAGGCAGAATTTATGAGAAGAGTGAGAAAGAAGTATGAAGTCACCATCCTGTTCTCTTTTGGTAACTATCGGATGAATCCTCTTCCTCTGCGCCTCCTGTTCAATCCCATATAGTAGCAGTTGCAAAAAGTGGCATAAAAACTGACATTTTTCTGTGTACAAGACAACCAAGAGGCAGATCCAAATTCCCAGTGATGTCACTGCAGGAAGTAGACCTCATTGGCTGGACATAAAAACACACAATGCATAAAAATGCATGGTAATGCATCAAGAACACTCTTCACTGCATATGGTAAAAGCACCTCAAAGTGCTAAAATATGTGGTAAAAAACGTACCACAAAAAGTATAAAAGCAGACACGGATAAATGTGAATCTGGCATAACTTTTACTTTTAGCCCCTCTAACACTAACATAGCTTATCTAAATCCCTAATACTGACTTAAACTTTTGAGCAGAATATTTTCAATATCTAGCACTGGAAGCATGAGCACTGAACTGTGACATAGGGCCTAGATGCTGAATCCTAATGATCTGTGGTAATAATCTTTAAGTGGCTTCCAGTTTGTACATGAAGCTTAATGATAATGAACATGATAATGTTATGTTTAGTGTTGGCCTGTACACTGGAGTTTGTATGAACTGTCCAAATGTCAATTACAATTTTAAGGTTTTGTTGATGTTCTAGCTATTTATCAGAGTTTCCTTTATAACTTTTATTTCTGCCTTGTTTGAAAGAATACCATTAGCTCTAATATATATAAAAACTAGTGTTTTACTAAAGTAGACCTAAACCATTTCGTTGAAATCTGAACACAAATATAATGCTATAATGCAGCTGTTCCTATTGTTGCATTATTATTATACAGGATTTATATAGCGCCAACAGTTTGCTCAGCGCTGTATAATATAAAGGGAGACAATACAGCAACAATACAGTTCAATACAAGAGAGATAGGAGGGTCCTGCTCCTCAGGGCTTACAATCTAAGAGGGAGGGGCTGGTGGTACAAAAGGTAATAACTGTGGGGGATCGACTGCTAGGAGGATTAGAAGATTCCATTATTAGCTGAAGGCGGGATAGGCTTCCCTGAAGAGAGGTTTTCAAAAACCGCCTAAAAGTGGGCAGAATAGGCGATAGTCATTTAGTTTGGGATAGAGAGTTCCAGAGGATGGGGGAGGCTCTGGAGAAGTCCTGGAGATGAGCATGGGAGGAGGAGACAAGGGAGCTAGAGAGCATGAGGTTGTGGGAGGAGTGGAGAGGACGGTTTGGGTGATATTTTGGAGACAAGATTAGTGATGTAATTGGGGCAGAGTTATAAATGGCTTTATATGTTATTGTTAATGTTTTGAATTTTATCCGTTGGGCAATGGGAAGCCAGTGGAGGGATTGGCAGAGAGGGGTGGCAGATACAAAACCATTAGTAAGGTGGATGAGTCTGGCAGCAGCATTCATGATAGACTGAAGAGGGGATAGCCTGTGATGAGGTAGGCCAATGAGGAGGGAGTTACAATAGTTAAGGCGAGATATAACAAGGAAGTGAATGAGTTGTTTAATGGTTCCCGAGGTTAGGAACGGGCGTATCTTAGAGATGTTGCGGAGGTGAAGTCTACAAGATTTGGACAATGATTGGATTTGGGGCTGAAAGAACTGATGGGAGAAGTCGGGGGGGGGGGGGGGGGGGGGGGGCACGGGTGGAGGGAATAGTATGAGCTCAGTTTTTGAAAGATTTAGTTTGAGGAAGTGGAGTGACATCCATGCCGATATGTCACTTAGTAGGTTAATAATGCGAGAGGAGACTGAAGGGGTGAGGTGAGGAGTAGAAAGATAGATTTGTGTGTCATCAGCATAGAGATGGTACTTAGTCATGGCCAAAATAAAATATCAGTAAAGTGATAAAAAAACAAAAGATCCAAATAATAAAATAAACCTGGATGTCACTATGGGCACTGCAGAATCCCATTACAGTTCACTCTTCAGCCATTAAAAAATGTGCTCCGTGGTCATTCCATACTTGTAAGCTGTACACAGCCACAAAAACGCGAAGTAGTCAGTTCCCCTCCGTCTTGTCTAAATGCAGGATGGGCCTGATGATAAAAGCATGCTCCCAATACCAAAGGATCAATCGTGTCAGATTGTTCCATGCATTCACACTGCACAAACTTGCCAAAAATTGTCAAAAGGTAACATTGTTTTAAAAGCCTTTCCAGCTTAGTCTTTTTTCACACTGCCACACTGTGGTTTGGCAGCAGTGCAGTTTTCATGTGGGTTACCCATGGTTTCTCAAGAACTTCTATTCTGTCCCACTTTTTTCTGGATGCACACCAAATGTCCTGCATGCTGCATCTTTGGTGCATTTTCAGAAAATGCACCAAAAACATGGGTCATGATAGAAATCTATAGGAAACCACAGTTACACTGCTGCAGGTAAACGGGCAGTGTGAGATGTTTTAGCTGACAAACATGTCATACTTACCTTTTCTGTGCAAAGGTTTTGCAAAGAGCAGTCACAAACCTCCTCTTCTGGAGTCCCGTCAGTAAGCTTGGCTCCTCTTCTCCGAGTGTCCCCATAGCAACTCACCTCCTATGGGGGACACTCATGCAGATTTAATCCTGAGCCTGGGCTGTTTGTGTCTATAGACACACACAGTGTGGCTCAGCCCCTTCCCCCCCCCCCCCCCACTCCCTTCTCAGACTTTTTGACTGACAGCAGCAGGAATCAATGGCTATCTCTGCTCCTGAGTCTCCTATGAGGAGAGAGAGCTGAGAACAGTTTCTGCAGATGGGACAGCGCTGGATTGCGCTCAGTATTTAGGGGGAGACTGGGGGGGGGAACAACTTCTGAAAGTGTTTTTTTTTTTTTTTTTTTTTTTTTTTCTTTTTTTACCTTAATGCAGACAATGCATTAGATAAAAAAAAAAATTGCCTTTAGGACTCGTTCACACCATACATGCATAAAAACTGATGGAATAAAATGTGCAGATTTGACTTGCATAGGCTTGTTCATGTCATGTGTAGGGACATGCGTATTTATTAAGTAAAATTGTTTTCTATGTACCCTGTTCAGACCATAACTACTGTTGTGAGTTTTTTTTCTGCACTCGCCAGTGAATTGTGGATAAAAGTCCTAAACAATGTTGCAATGTTTACAATGTAAAATCGCAGTTTAGGCAGACATTCTACAGTGTGTGTTTTGAGAAGCCAAATACAGGTGAACAGTGTAGCACAAATAATTACCCATGGGAGATCAGTGCTGTGACAGCAGTGATCCTCCTCAGGAATATGCAGAGGAGGGGGAAGATTCACTAAATCTAGAGAGTGCACAATCTGGTGCCGCTCTGCATAGAAACCAATCCGCTTCCAGGTTTTATTGTCAAAGCATAATTGAAGAAGCTGAAGTTAGAAGCTGATTGGCTACCATGCACAGCTGCACCAGATTCTGAGTGCTCCAGTTTTCGTAAATTTTCCCCAAGACGTCTTCTTGTAAGTGTAACTAAACAAACTCAGCTGATAGAGCTTGGTAAATAACAGAATCCCCCTAGTGCAACTGGTTGCCCAGCACACTGCCTACTCTGGCCAGCAAGATGGCAAAGTACATGGAAGACAGTCTAGCACAGCAATGGGCAAACTACGGCCTGGCGGACCTTTTAATCCAGCCCGCAGAGCTAGGCTCCCGCTAGGCTCTCACAGTCTGCCCTGAAGACCGATGTAGCATGAAAATCTGTCTCCTATGAGGATGTCCCCCTCGACGTATCTGCGCATGTGCCGGAGATCGCCGATCGGCTGCTAATGCCTGAAACTGGCACATGCGCAGATACGTCGAGGGGGACAGATCCTCATAGGAGACAGATTTTCATGCTACACCGGAATGGCGCGGGAACACGGCGAGAGGAACGCGTGGAGCAAAGGTAAGTGAATTGACACAGGGGGGACTTGGGACTTATGGGGGATGACTTAATATGGGGGATGAATTAATATGGGGAATTAATTACTATATGGGGGATGAATTACTATATGGGGGATGAATTACTATGGGGGATGAATTACTATGGGGGATGAATTACTATATGGGGGATGAATTACTATGGGGGGATGAATTACTATATGGGGGATGAATTACTATATGGGGGATGAATTACTATATGGGGGATGAATTACTATATGGGGGGATGGGGGATGAATTACTATATGGGGGATGAATTACTATATGGGGGATGAATTACTATGGGGGATGAATTACTATATGGGGGATGAGTTACTATATGGGGGAATATTACTATGCTTACTATGGGGGAATATTACTATACTTACTATGGATGACACATACACATCATTCATTTACTCTTGGTCCGGCCCCCGGGTCCAATATATGAACCCATTGCGGCCCTCAAGTCAAAAAGTTTGCCCACCCCTGGTCTAGCATGTACTGGCTGTGGAGAAATCAGCTGTCATTCAGTCAATTTCAGAGATACTTGTTCTCCTCCTTCAAGATTAATCTTGAGGACGGAGAACGAGCATCTCCAAAACCACATGATTGACAGCTGATTTTTTCATAATCAAAATGTATTGGATTTTCTTCCAGGAGCTCATCTAACTTTCTGGCCACATATAAGCAATGTCTTGGACACCTGCTACTCTAGGTGCATTCTTCTAGGTGCATTTTTTAGCAAGCTCTAACCACTGGATTTGTTTGCCCACACTTCCCTACAGCCGCCGTCCTAGAACTGTTCTTCCACTGGTAAATTCTTTGCAATACTTAAAGACGCTGTTCTGCACTTGTATTTAGCGTCTCATAAACACACGGAACTGCGATATGAACACATTAAAGAATGGTTCCTTGTGATTTTACTGAACTACCAGCATTTAGCACTCTGCAACATTTTTATTCTCCAGGTCTTTTACCTACAAATCACCTGCAAGCATAGATCTCCATTGCCATTGCTATTTATTTTTATTTTGGGTAATTGGGGGCACCCTGAATTTCAGAACAATGCAGCTGCTTTTATCCTAAAAGAGAATTGTGGGATTTAAAAACAAACAAAGAAGCAATCTTAGTCGCCTAGATGAATGCAGCATTGGGAGGAAGCTGCATCTGTTCCTCTTCTGCCAATTAAGACTGAGAACTGAGCAATCAAAGACCACTGATCTCTCAGTTCTCGGTCTTCAGAGATCAAAGAGCCAGTGACTGTCAGTTACTGGCTCTCTGCTCTGCCCCTCCAGCGCTTCACTGGAGCTCTTGGCTGTGGAGGGGGCGGGAGTGACTGGCGCAGGCTCTCAGCAGCCTGACATTAAAGTCGGGATCCCTCCAGAGTCTTGACCAGCCGAGTGATGCCATCCCTTAAATTACTGATAAATAATGTTCCTTGAGTTAATTCTTTCCCATTTGTTTCATTTATTTTATTATATACTTTGTATTTTGCTTTTTTTTATTTTTTTTTTTTTTCCACTTAATTTTATTTCTGCTACAAGAGGGCTGAAAAGCACAAAACAAAACTCCTCCCACCACTGAGCACTGTTGCACCCCTTTCACTCCTTCCCCAACACCGAACATCCTCCATACCCCCTGCACTCCTCCAACATTGAGCACCCTGAACCTCCCTGCATTCCCCCTCCAACGCTGAGCACTTCTGCAACCCTTGAACTCCTCCTCCATCACTGATCATCTCTAACTCCCCTTTCATACTGATCACCTTGGCAACCCCAGACCCTGACACTGCTCACTTCCTTCCAGCAGCCATCTCTAACACCAGCTCTCCATGCAACTATGCTGCCAGGGCACTGATGCCCTACCTCTTGGTCCATCACAGCATTCGGTGCAAACATGTAAATAACAGACAGACGGGGCAGAAAACCAGCCTCACCCAGGTTCCATTATTACTAGCAGAATACACAGTTAATAACCCAACCTGAGCTAGCATCCAGCATTATCCAGAATCCATCTTTACCCACAGCACAAACAGTTTACACACCACAACCTCATTTGCAGATACGGTCTCACCCAGAATCTATGCTAACACAAAGCACACAAAGTTAATGCCACAACTGCTGTTTGGGACCCAGTCTAACCCAGAATCCATCCTTATCCAGTTCACAAGTTTATATCACAACTTGTGCTAAGGGTCCAGCCTCATCCAGATTACATTTGGAACAGCACAAACAATTTATACTTCAGCTCGACCTGTCAGCTTGGTCTTCTCCAGAGCCTAAGCTGGGCATCTAGCTTTATCCACGTGATGTTAACTCAAATATTTGTAATAATTGTATAGCAAATCTTGGGTGTCACAAAGACAAGAAGTGATAGGAAATCTCTCCAGTGGTGGGGCGAAGGTGGCAACAAAATTTATGTTTTGATTTAAATGGAGAAGGGCTAGAATCTCTGTCACATTTTTATCACTGTTCCAGTAATGCTTGTAACCTTCATGGCTTGTCCTGGAGTCACAGGGACAAATTCTTCCCAACGAGTTAAACTACTATAATAAAAAAAAAAAAAACTGAGAGGTTTTAATTTTCCCCTATTGTAATTTTGACTTTTAACTATTTTGACTGTTGTGGTGGCCCACTTGCTTCACTACTTTGAGTCACCATTCTGTAACTTGTATGCATATCAGGAAAGTGATATAAACATTAGAACTGTTTGTTGCAGGTTAGTAAATATAAACATTGAAGCAAGGGGGTCATCATTGCAGCCAGCCATTTGGCATTTTCAAACAGGAAGGTGATCAATGGCAACCTCCATGGTTATCACATTACAAGTTTTAAATAAAGTGCCCTTTAATACTGCCCCTGGCCTTCTTGAGATAATTATACTATTTAGAACAGATGCCTCACAACACCATCCATCACTCTAAGTAAACTTATACTAAAGATCTGATAGCCATGGCTTTTCCTGGATTATGGTATTTTTCATGTGGCTCCCAGCCACCCTTTTTCAACACTTACCCTACTTTGAGATCTGCACTGCGTGCTATAACTAAATACTCAGGACAGCAAGGAAGTTACCAGACACTTAGGCTGAGTTCACACTGATGCATTGTGTTTTGGCACAGCTTGGATGTATGCACAGTTTCCCAGCGTTTTACACACATTTTTAGCCATGGTCTTTTTAGGTCGTGCATTTATGGCACGTTTTCTGAAAGTTCAGCAAAGATGCAGTTTGTAGAACTTTCAGAAAGCACAGCAGATACTTGCACATACAACCGCACTGCATCCAAAGCACAGAGCAGCAGTGTGAACCTGGCATAAAGCTGTGTTTTCACAGACCCAAAATCAGCCATATTTCACTTTGTGTGTACCTGTTTAAACAGAGGCCATTCATTAGACTGGTTTTGTCGACAGTCCTGCTGGAAAACCAGCATGCGATCAGCGCTTGCAGCTAATGTAATCAATGTATTCTGATGGGGGGGGGGGGGGGGGGGGGGGGTTTTGTGTGGATGCGGAGATATGTCCATGTATATTCTGCTTAACTCTCACTGGATAACATTAGCACTGCAGTCATAATAGTGTTATCACTGAAAATCACTTGTCCAATTAGACCTACTTATCCTATTAACATTGCAGTATTGTTTTTTCATTAAATATTCCGATTTTTTTATTTGTTTTTTTTTTTTCATTTGTAGGGAGCGATGCATTTCCAAGATGGTCATCTAGAAGGCAAAGTCAGATCTTTGGCTAAGAACTGAATCGGAACAATAAGACACATTGGTCAGCTAGGAGACACTTAAGGGGACTTCTTTCATCTAAGTTGTAATGGGGTCTTATAAATAAATAAGATCTGCACATATGAGCGGTTCTGCATTTTTTTTTTTTGTAAAGTCTACCATGACTGATGAGCTCTTCTCTATTTAGTTAGTAAGCTCAGCATACCAGTGATAATGCACTTTAGCAAATCAAAGACATATTTCCTTTATTACCAGCCAAGCAATAGTAAGCATTTTAAAAGAAAAATAAAACTGATACAGCATTATATTTCAAATAAAGGGTTTCTATAATTCTACAAACGGGTAAAAATACAGTAAAGCAGAAGTATGCCCTTTGTAGATGTCTATTTATGCACTTAATGCTGATACATTTTTTAAAAGCACTGTAGATTTATACTATGGGCTTAATATAGTAATGTTAACCTGTCACAAGACCAATCAATTCAAACCGTGCTTACAGTGCCTGGAAAAAAAAAAAAATTGTATTCACACTCTTGGAAGTTATCATCTTTATTGTCACATGACACTGAATCACAGTAGATTTTTTTTTGCCCTGATCAACAAATACTTTTCCATGTGAAATCGGATCTCTGCAAAGTAAGTTAATGAAATTAATTACATAAAGAAACCCCCAAAATAACCTTAATCTGAGTGTATACCCCTCTTAATATGATACACTATCATTACCAGTTCAGCCATTTCATTTCCAAAGTCACATAATTAGTGAAATTGAGATCACCTGTGTGAATTCAAGGGTTTTCCAGTGATTTCAATATAAAGATTAACGTATCTAAGAAGTTAAACTGCTGATGAGTTAGTATTGTGGAATAACGTATACAATGAAGGGAAAAAAACACTCCAAGAAAATCTGTGAAAAGCAGAATTTAGAGGATGAAAAAAATTAAATTTCAAAGTCTCTGAATACCCCTTGAAATACAACTAAAACACGCAAAAAGCAATGGAATGGGTAAAGCAAAGTTTTAATTTGTGAAAAAGTGGTCACCTACCAAAAAAGGTTGGTGAGGAAGTGTACAAAAACTATTGAGGAAGGCCATGCTGAGATATGTGGCCACTCTGAGTTACAAGCCTCAGTGGCTGAGACTGGAGAGACTATGCATACAACTGTTGCCTAAGTGTTTATCCAGTTGCAGCTTTTATAGGACAGTGGTAAAAGAAAACCACTGTTCACTAAAACTCTCACCTACAGTTTGTCAGAAGGTACATTGAAGATGCCTAAATCAGCAGGAAGAAGAGTATGTGGTCTTAGGAGACCAAAATTGAATTTATGGCTATTAGACCAAACACTGCACATAATCATATATGTACCAGCACCGCCTTAATGCTTGGTGGTGGTACCATCATTCTATCAAAATGGTTCACTGCAACAGGCCCTGAGAGGTGAGTGGGGGTAGAAGGTAGAAAGAATGCAAAATACAGGGAATTGCTGGAGGATTTTTTTTCCTATTAAGTAAGACAATGGGGTTGATTTACTAAAGACAAATAGGATGTTCACTTTGCAAGTCGAGACACAGATTCTCTATTGGATTAAGCCATTCCAGGACACATTATTTTTAACTGTAGAGGAAGATGAAAAAAAGAGCGCACAAACCTTGCGCATTACCTCAAATAGTGACTAATTTTATTAATAAGGAAATATACTCACAAAATGATTGTATAACAGGCATAAGTAACCATAATCCAAACAGGGAACTGCTGTAATACTGACACTCAGTGGCTGAATATCTCCTTGCCATGGGAACTCTGCCATACCTCAGTTTCTATCTGCCAAACCCAGCTCTGATGAAGAAGGGAGCACCCTTCGAAACGCGTTAGCCTTCATTCCCCCTTCCCCCTTTTTGATTTACCTGTAACCCTGTTTGGATTATGGTTACATATGCCTGTTATACAATCATTTTGTGAGCATATTTCCTTATTAATAAAATTAGTCACTATTTATTGAGGTAATGCGCAAGGTTTGTGCGCTCTTTCTTTCATCTTCCTCTACAGTTTTATTAAGCTTCCCCAGCTTCATGATAGAGCTGCACAACCTCTGATCACCAGTGGATGAATACACAAACACGCTGCTTGTCACTAACGCCTGTTTGATCTGAGTCCTTGAGCGCAGGAGATAATGGATCTTTGGTCACATTATTTTTAAACCATTCTTTCATAGTTTTGGCTTTATGTTCAGTCCTTGAGGTTGATTTACAAAAGGCAAATAAGCTGTTCAGTTTTCAAGGGAAATTTCTCTCCATTTAGTGAATGAGGTAAAGCACCACTGACTTCCATCATCCAATCATGTAAATGCAACAATAATTTTATTTTAAAGTTTCCTTGCATGTGATTGGGTATTCCTTGCAAAGTGAAATTTAACCACATTCACTAAGTTAAGGAAAATTCCCTAGCAAAGAGAATATTAATTGCAAAGTGAACAGCCTATTTGCCATTAGTATATCAACTCCAATGACTCTGATCATAAAGCCAAGGCGGGCTGCTACCCAAGAATGGATCGAAAACAATAAGGTTGACAATCAGAAATGGTCAAGGCAGAGCTCAGATCTTAATCCAATAGAGAATTTGTAGCTGGTCTTAAAAAACCCCCACAAAGCGAGACCGAGCCTGAGGAATTTTGCACGGGAATATGTAAAAACGCAAGCTGTTCGAAGCTGATATAGACTGATAAATACATCAGGCTGTAATGGCTGTCAAAGGTGCATCTACTAAGGGGGTGTATACTTATAAAGTCAGTTATGTTGTGGGGTTTTTTTTGTCATTTGAATCACTTTGCAGAGCTCTGCATTTTGTTATGAACCCATTTTTATCCAGTTTTCTTTGTCAAGATGAACACTTTTTTAATAGACACTATATGATAAAAAAACACATAAGCTGAGATTACTTTCAGTAAACAAACTATTTGATCCAGAGAGCTAAGCAGTTGAAATTATATGATATTTTAAACTTTTCCTGTAAAACTGAGCCTTACCTTGCCCCTTCCTACCTTTTTATTGATCCTTCAATGTACTTGTTGGTCTTGTTGACCAACAGGGAAGACTGGCATATGCCTTGGATCCAGCTTGACTTTTACAGGATAAAAAAATTATCAGGATATTAGTCGAGCTGTAGGTATCTTTGTAGCTCCTGAACATTTCTCAGTTTACTTAGTTTGCTTTGGTGAGATTTGTGATGGGTTTATTGTGCGCTATTCCATTCAAGTCACAAAGTCATATATGAGTAACTAAAAGAAAGTGTATATATGTATGTGTGTGTGTATATATATATATATATATATATATATATATATATATATATATATATATATATATATATATATAAAAATCTAATATGCTTACCAGAGTATTTAATTGTTTTCTAATATCCACTTGCTTCTAACAGAGTCTCAAAATTTGTTGGCCTTTGTGAGCAAGGGGAGAACTGGGATGGTGGGTGATTTGCCCCGGGCCAATAATGACGTTTTCTCTTAGTGGCAATGCTTCATCATTCAGACATTGATCAGATTTGGACATGTAGTCAGTGAAATAAATGGGGCATCGTGTAGCTATCAGCTCCCTGTTCAGACCTGCAATAACAGACTTTGGCAGAGTGAAGCCTTCCAGTACTGACTTCCTTTAGAAGTCAACGTGAACTAATGCCAGTACCCACAAAGAAAGCTGGAAGATATGAAAAGATGTATCCAAAATAAACATTCATTTAGGAACTCTCATTTTTCACCATGCCCACCAGTCACTGCAACACTTTGGCACACTTGTGGTATACTTTCTTTAGTCCACATAAAGTTGGGCATAGAAGAGACATTCTCCCATCCACCCATTCAGGATGGATGTGGGAATCCTCCCCACTGCGCTATTGTATTCTGACAGTGGGGGAAAACTTACCGGCTGTCAGAATACACTGATCAGCATTTCTGTCTATAGCCGGCAGTGCTAGTCAAGTGGCAAGAATCCAACAGGGCAGTTGTATTGGATCTACCGATCAACTTCTGTGCAAGTATGGGCAGGGTAGCCGTACAGCAGTTGAATTTAACTGGTCGCTGCTGAGCCAGCCGAATATCAATCCATGTATGGCCCGCCTAAGCTGTCCCTTACAAAAAAGACTAAATTGGTTGTGTTTACCGCTGAGGCCAAAGGTTCGCAGACCTTTAGTGTTGTGGACCCTAGGTATTATGTTGCAAGACAAAATTGTTGTAAATCCATAAAAAAACAGTTGAACATGGTATTCAAGATGACTCTTAACTGTCATTTAGACAATATAGTGGACAATATAAATATTACTTATATTGTAACTGGATAAAACTGGATGATCTCTGATATTTATGATATTCAGTAAGTGATCTGTTCTGTTTCTGCTAAAACCAAAAATTAAACATTACAGTTTGATCATAACTCGAGTTAAATGAGTTTTTAAATAAATGCTGATCATTAGAAAATGATTGTAATGGACAGAAACTGGATTATTTTAAAGTGATTAATTTTTATGCATTTTTCGTTTTCTTTCTTTTTGTTCTGGTCGTATTTTACTGTTCATGTTGTAATGGTGTAATATAAGTTACAAAAAATCCAAAATACCTGGAGCCAGCAAGTAAATGAACTGCTTTGTAATTACAAAGGCTGTATCTAATTTCATAAACATTTTTACAGAAACTCCAAACTATCTTAAAATGAAAATATGTAAATGGTCAATGCAATGTTACAAAATAAATTTGGTTATAAACATTTGGGTTCATTCACTTTTTATTTTAATATTGCTTATAAACAACACTAACCAGACTTGCTGTCATTGCTTTGTAGTAATAGCACACCTATGTTAACCTCTTCAGCTCCGGAAGGTTTTACCCCCTTCATGACCTTCATGATTTTTTTTGCTATTTAGCAGTGCACTACTTTAACTGGCAATTGTGCAGTCATGCAATTCTGTACCCAAACAAAATTTATA